CTACCCCCTTTCTCCTCCATCTCGGCCCTTGATTGGGTGCTGCATAGACTTCTGGGTGCTCACTGGCACCTCCAAATGCTAATCACCGCTCCCACCCGCTCCCTAGTGCCATGTGTTGGGACCTTCTCCTTGCTAACAAGGTAGGTGGTGCAGAGGCAAGAACAAGTTAAGGGCACCTCGGAAAGTGACCATCAGGCCCTTCCACCTCCATCTTCGGGCCACCCTGACCCCGACCTACGGAGGGGCGTGGCCAGATGCCTGTTAGAATTTTGCGTTGAGTTCCATCTCCCCATTCTCTCTAACTAGATCCCAGGGTGGGGGTGGGGTCTTTGCTCTGCTTATTCAAGGGCTGGAGGTGGGGGCCAGGAAGGAAAGACGCTTTTGGGGACGAAAGCCACAAAAGCCTCCTTCGGCCTGCCCTGCTGACTGCTGGATTGCCACTGAGAATTTAGCCCTCCAAAAGGGCCCCAAGGACCGGAGTTTTGAGCACTCATTGTTCGGTAGACGGGTGTCACATCCTAAGATTCCAGAACACTTCCCACAGGGAGCTGCATGAGCAGGTGGCCATTTGCAATCTGGAAATGCTACCAGGGACAGCAGAATGGAGTTACTTGGCAAATGCCAGAGGTCGAGTAGCAGCTGTCTCTCCTTCTTTAACCCAACAAGTAAACAAGTTTCCTAAAACCTACCTTGCATAGCCCATGAGCAGCCTGGCTAAATGATATTAAACAAAAGAAAGCGAAACTCAATGCTGTAGAGTCTATTCCAGTTCATAGTGACCCCCATTGGGTTTCCGAAGCTGTAAAACTTTATGGAGGTAAAATGCCCCATCTTCCTTCCTTGGAGCTTCTGGTGGGTTTGAACTGCAGACTTTCTAGTTAGCAGTCAAATGCCATAGGCACTACACCACTAGAGCTTGCAGTATCCAAACTTCATTAAAAATTGCTGGATGCTGACCATGTTTGCAGGGGACATCAAGCTCAATTGGTATGACATACTACCCAAAAACATTGTTCCACATCCTACTTTGGCCAGTAGTGACTGGGATCTTAAAAGCTTACAAATGGCCATCTAGATGCAGTGATGGGTCTCTCCTCGTCCAGAGCAAAGAAGAATGAAGAAAACTAAAGATGCATAGAAATAATTTGTCCAAGGGACTGGTACACCTCAGCCTAAATGACTATGAGACCAGAAGAACTAGATGGTGCCTGGCTACCACTGTCAACCACTGGGAGGGGGATCTGTGTAGGAGATCCTGGATAGAATGGGAGAATAATGTGGAACCAAACTCAAAAATCATTTAAAAAAAAAAAAGAGAGAGACCAGGTTTGAGGGTCTGATAGAACCTGGTGGAACCTGAGACTGTGGCCCCTAGCTGCCCTTCAGGTCTGGAACTGAATCCACTCCTGTGGCTTCCAGCCAAACAAAAGACAGGTATATGAGGTGAACATTTACATTCTACTCAACTGCCATCAAGTTGATCCGACTCATAGCGACCTCTCTTTGGGTTTCGGAGGCAGTGTCTCTACAAAAGTATATCGATCAGTCTTCCTTCTGAGGAGTGGCTGGTGAGTTTGAACTGCCAGCCTTCCGGATAACAGTCACATGCCTTAGGCATTACGCTACCAGAATCCTTGGAGAGAGCAATCATGGGAGAATAGAAGGGCTGTGTAAGCACAGGGAGACAGTGGAGATGGCAGAGAAGGACACAGGGAAGAGGTGGCTATGGAAAAGAAGTGGGAGGACAGCTGTTGCATTGTAGGAGATTACAATCAATGTCATGAAACAGTGTATGGGAACTACTGTATGGAAGATGAATTTGTTCTGTAAACTTTCACCCAAATCACAATAAAAATAAAAAATAAAAATAAAAAATTGCCTGATGCCCAAATAGGAAAACCTTAGACAAATTTTTCCTGATTTTTAGTGCTTATGTTTTATTACCTTATCGATAAACAAAAAAGTTGTAAAGGGACATACTGATATGAAAGAGGCTTTGTGTTCATTCCAAGGCAGTATGGTCTACATTTAGAAATTTGAAAAATGTCAGAACAATTTTGAAAAACTATATTCCCTCTTAGCATATTTTTAAATTGACCCATTATTCCTCATCATGAGCTGCAAATACGTCATTTTTGGTACAGTGTAAATATTATTTTAAAATAAAACTCATTTATCACTGTCAAAAAAAAAAAAAAAAGACTGAGTAAGAGAAGAAAAAAACTTGAAATTCAAAAAATCCTTGAATCAAGCGAAAATGAAAACACAACATACCAAAATCTTTGGGACACAGCAAAAGCAGTGATTAGAGGCCAATTTATAGCAATAAATGCACACATCAAAAGAGAAGAGCCAAAATCAACACTTTAAGCCAACATCTCCAACAATTAGAGAAAGAACAGCAAGAAAAGCCTACAGTCACCAGAAGAAAGGAAATAATAAAGATTCAAGCAGAAATGAGTGAAACAGAAAATAGAAGGGCAATACAAAAAATCAATAAGACCAAAGGTTAGTTTTTGAAAAGATTAATAAAATTGACAAACCACTCGCAATTTTAACAAAGGAAAAGAGAGAGAGAACCCAAATAACACATAAGAAATGAAATGGGTGACATCACAACAGACCAACTGAAATAAAAAGGATACTACCAGGGTACTATGAAGAACTGTGCTCCAAAAATTTGAAAATCTGAAAGAAATGGATGGATTTCTAGAAGCATACCACTTACCTAAACTATCACAGACTGATGTGGAAGAGTTGAACAGATCCATAACAAAAGAAGAAATTGAACATGTCATAACAAAATTACCAACAAAAAAAGCCCTGGCCCAGACAGTTTCACCAGAAAATTCCACCAAACATTCAGAGAAGAACTGACAGCAATCCTACTCAAACTATTCCAAACCATAGAAAAGGATGGAATCCTCCCTAACTCATTTTATGAAGCAAGCATAACCTTGGTAACAAAGCCAGCAAAGACATCACTCAAAAGGAAAACTACAGACCAATATCCCTCATGAATATAGATGCAAAAATCTTCAACAAAATCCTAGCCAATAGAGTGCAACAACATACCAAGAAAATCATTCATTATGACCAAGTGGGTTCATATCAGGTATGCAAGGATGGTTCAACATTACAAAAACAATCAACATCATCCACCACATAAATAAAACAAAGGAGAAGAACTACATGATCATATCAATTGATGCAGAAAAGGCTATTAATAAAATCCAACACCCATTCCTGATTAAAACTCTCAGCAAAATAGGTGTAGAAGGGACATTCCTCAACATAATAAAGGGCATCTATGCAAAACCAACAGCCAGCATTATACTCAATGGAGAGAGACTGAAACCATTCCTCTTGCAAACAGGAACCAGACAAGGATGCCCTCTACCACCACTTCTATTCAACATTGAACTGGAAGTTCTAGCCAGGGCCATAAGGCAAGAAAGGGAAATCAAAGGCATCCAAATTGGTAAGGAAGAAGTCAAACTATCCCTATTTACTGATGATATGATCTTATACCTAGAAAACCTAAGAGACTCAGTCAAAAATCTACTGGAACTAATTGAGAGATTTAACATCATGGCAGGATACAAGATCAACATTCCAAACTCAGTTCGATTCCTCTATATCAGCAAAGAGATTGCGGAAAAAGAAATAAGGAAATCAATACAATTTACAATAACTATCAAAAAAATAAAACACTTGGGAATAAATCTTACTGGGGACACAAAATACTGTACCAAAAAAACTATAAAAGACTACTTCAAGAAGCTGTAAGATATCTACATAAATGGAAGAACATGCCATGCTCATGGATAGGAAGATTGAACATTGTGAAAATGTCAATTCTACCCAAAGCAATCTATACATTCAATGCCCAATCCAGATCCCATTAACATTTTTTAAGGATATGGAAAAGCCAATCACTAACTTTATATGGAAAGGAAAGAGACCTTGGATAAGCAAAGCACTATTGAAGAAGAACAAAGTAGGAGGTCTCACACTTCCGGATCTCAAAACCTACTATACAGCCAAAGTAGTCAAAACTGCCTGGTATTGATACAATGAAAGACACATAGACCAGTGGAATAGAATTGAGAACCCAGAAATAGATCCATTGACCTATGGTCAGCTGATCTCTGACAGAGGGATAGAGAGGGAGAACAATGTGGAACAAAACTTGAAATCATTTGTGGGGGGGGGGGACTGGTTTGCTGGTCTTAATTGAGCCTAGTGGAACCCCTGAGACTATGGCCCCTAGCTACCCTTCACGTCTGGAATCGAACCCACACACCTGTGGCTTCCAGCCAAACAAAAGACAGGCATATGAGTTGCACATTTACCTGAGGTAGATACACTCCTTGGAGAGAATAATCATTGGAGAAAGAACAGCTGTTTATGCACAGGGAGACGACAGCTCAGGGAGCAGGAGTGCATGGAAGGTCGGACACAGGGAAGAGGTACCTGTTGGGAGGAAGTGGGAGAGGAGCTGTTGCATTGTGGTAAATTGTAGTCAATGTCATGAGACAAAGTAATTGCTCATTGCTGTGTGGAAAGTGAATTTGCTCTGTAAATTTTCACCCAAATCACATTTTAGAAAAAGGGAAAAAAAAAGCTGTTGGCACTGCAAAAAAAAAAAAAATTAAGGATCATTGCCTATCATGGAAACTGCCATGAAGGAAATAAATGTGGAGATGGAGAGTGACTGCATGATGGGGCAGGGGGAGTATTTTTTCTGTTATGAGAAGGATGCAGATGAACCTGCCATTTGCAGCATTTCAGGTAGAGAGGAGGAAGGCAAAGCCTCCCAGGCCAGGAAGGGCATGGCAGTTTAAGATTGTATTTCAAGTATGACCTCTCTTCAAGAGTAATGGAAGTCATGGAAGATGCTTTTGTTTTAAACTCAAGTTAAATTAATAATTCAGTTTTTATTCCAGGATACTAACCTCCACAGTCCAATGGATTAATATTTCTATCTTGTCTTTTAGGAGCCTTCCCACCTCCCAAGGGCCATAAGGAAGCTGTTGCCAGGGAGATGACCCTCAGCAATATGAGGCTATTTCTCATACACTGTTTTGTATTTCTGTCAGGCTATATGTGGTATAATGTCATTCAGTATTTTTACCATTGCCTGTTTTAGAAATAGACTTGTCAAGGTCACCATAGGAATTCAGACTTTCATAAATGTACATTATTTTTCATGTGCAAATCAGATTATATAAAAAAAAAGGCGAAGGAAATTCAATGGCTGGATTAATATTTGTCCCCCTTTGGGATATTTTAAAACTCTACTAAAATGAGGATCAGTAATATAATGACCTGCTAATATATTTTAAGAACTTTCCATGTTTTAAAAAGATGTACTCTACCACACATTTAAGCAAACATCACATTTGGAGAAAAGGAGATCATAAAATCATCCTAGAAGACTGAAAGTAATTCTGTTGCCACCAGATATACTTGATAATATAGTTCAAGCTCAGAAAGTTGTGCTCGTTGCTCTTAGCTCGTAGTCTGTAGGTCACCAGTGCTCTTGAGAACTCTCACTTCCACCAACTCTTGCTGTTACTAGTAACTTTGAGAGGAGCCCCTTTGGTACCTTCTGAAGAACTGTTTCCCTGGCATTTGCAGCAACAAACTCTAATCCTCAACAACTAAGTGAAGTTGTTTTCAGGCACTTTCTAGTTTCTTGAGGGGCAGGGCGGGGTTGGAGAACAGTGTCCATTGACCATGTTCCAGTGCTACAATGTGTTCTTGGAAAATCCTGCCCAGGCTAGCTCAGTCCAACACCATGTTTACATGTGCTAGTGCTTCCCCTTTAAAAAGGGGTCACTTATGTTCTCTTTTTGTATAGAAGTCATATCACAAATTGATAATTATCTTTTACAAAATATACTTTTATAAGATGCAAATATAGTGAAGGATTAGTAATACAGTCTGAAAATAAATGTAAGCATAGTGTCAGGATTCTTGAGAGGCTGTTTTGTCTCTTCATGTTTTCTTGCATGCTGATGCTCTCCAGTGCCACCCAGCATTAGGCACCTCACCCTGGCTGATGGGATAGTTCTGTCTATAGTGCAGAAGCTTTTTTTTTTTTCCTTTCCATTTTGATATACTAGCACCAAATGCATTTGGGGATGGCTGAAACAAATTAATGCAAAACATCTACATGATCATTTTGAGGGGGAATGGACTAGTTTATTAGAAGGGAGGAGGAAAGAAAAAAAAAAAAAAGCAATAGCCAGGCAGTGACTTAAAATGGCAACAAGTTCTCACATGGCATCCCAGAACGTGTGCAGACAGTGCTCTGTTGCGTCATGGCATCTAGGAGCTTCCGGTCTTGAGGTTCATGTAGTCAGGAGATAACCTAGCACAGAAGGCTTCTTAGGCTCTTCCAGGTACTTTGGAAGAGGATAAAGTCAAGCTTCTATTTCTAGAACATAGGATTTTTCTGCATTTGTCACTGTGTTGATGTGATTTACCTCACAGGCAAACCAAACTCTTCTCAAAAAGCAGTGGCGCTCCATCTCCGTAACCTGTGCTCCAGTGTTGAGATAGAGTCTGCCTCTTGGTCTGTGATTCTAAGACTGTTATGATTCTCATCATTTAATGATAGTTTCCTATGATGTGAGTGAGCATTATAGATTCCCCTGTTGTCTCTAATCACACAAATAACAATTTTGAGAAGTAGGCTATAAAATAAAAATAAAGGCTAATGTTTTCAATTTTTAAATAAACCAAAAATTTAAAAAACTGAGAAGATGTGAATTTTCCCCAGTTATGTGGGAAAGGTAAAGCAACACCAAATAAAAGCCCAAAGCAACTTCATCTTTTAAGATAACTCAGTACACATGTGAAAGAGAATGATGCATTACCTGAAATACCTCATTGAATAGAATACTGCTACTGGTACAATGCGGACAACAGTGTTAATGTGCTTGGCTTGGTCATATGTGTTGTAAGATGCCGTTTTTTAGAAATCTAAGCTTATCGTTGTATGCCCACCTACAGGGACAGTTGTACAAGTGAAACCAGTCTCAGTTTAGAGGTGTGAATGATGATAGGAAGCCAACTAGACACCTAAAGATGCTTCTGTCTGACACTTGGCAAACACTACTAAATTTTCAGGTAAATTGAAATTGTTCATTTGAGACATTAGTCAGCTATGGAAGGATTAATTGCTCGCTGTCAAGTGTGGCCTGCACCGTCCTCGCTAATAGACCTTTTTTCCACTGCTAAAGCACTCCATGAGATGGAGTGGCCAGTCCTGCTGTCAACAATAGAAACCTTCATATGTGTGTACATAAAGTGGATTAGGGCCACTTTTGCCATCACTGCTCCAAAGGCACATAATATTGTTCAATATGCTATATGCTTAAGCAGACTGTCCTGTAAGATGCTTTGCTTTTCAGGCACAGGGTCATTTCAACTGTCTCTAGGGTGACAAATACGAATAAATATGTGAGTTAATTTTGAAAAATGGACCGAGGAGTTGTAAATAGAGGTGTATTTCACCAGCCCTCTCCTTCTTTGATTCTTTTATCAACATGTTCTCTCGTCTACTTGGCAAAACGTTTGCTTGAGACCATTGATAGTGGTTTCCTTATCAGTCCCTGGAGTTCTCCTGCTTGCACTAGGGAAAGAGAGTCAGTGTTCTTACATGGCAATCTGGGGAAGCAGCAACATGCTGCTGTACAGAACTGAATAAAAATTCCTGATGTGTGCTTTCTTTGTGAAGTGAGATGAAAGGAGAGTTAAAAGAAGACAGACTTTTATCAAGGAGAAAGAAAGTAAAATTATTCCAGTTTTATATTAGTAGCTTGTAGCACTTCTCAGTCTCAGCTCGTCTGCCTAGGTTTCCACAGCAGAGAGGGTTGAGAAATGGGGACTGGAGTCCCAGTATCCAGTGACTACAAAAGTGACAACCCAGCAGTTCACTGTTTACTTTAGAAACAGTTACTGGTGTTGCAATACACACATATTGTGGAGAAACCTATCAGCCAATGAAAGTAAAGAGAAATTACAGAATGGAAAATAATGTTTTGGGTGGGCAAAAAAATTAGTTGAGAATCTAAATAGTAAATTTTATAAAAAGAAGTAAGTAATTTTACAAAAGTAAGTAAGTTCAGATCTGTCCTGTTATTGAGTAGTTTTAAGTATTATAAAACACCAAAACCAAATTCACTGCTGTCGAGTCATTCCTGACCCATAGTGACGACTCCTTAGGTTTCTTTCTGAGGCTGTATCTCTACGGAAGTAGATTGCCCAATCTTCCTTCCAAGGAGTGGCTGGTGGGTTTGAACTGCCAGCTTTCTGGTTAGTAGTCAAATGCCTTAGGCACTATGTCACCAGAACTCCCTTAAATATTATAACCAACTTTTTTTTTTTTTTTTTTTTTTTACCTTTAATATTCCACAGTAAAAGTATTAGGATTAAAGTAATCAATCTAGTAATCATAAATAAGCCAAAAATATCATTTTATTAGGAATTTGAATTTCTATTCTCATCAAAATTTTTTTTCTCCTAGGGATGCTTACTTGTTAAAAAATTATTTGAGTTCTGTGTTAATTTCTCTTGCCTGTGTATTTATGACTGTGTTAATGAGTAGTGAAATGATTTGGGGAAAAAAAAAGACAGACATACGGCTATGAGTAAGAGGAAAGACAAACGCCTGAATAATCCACAGGCTAGAAAATGGGTCCCTGAGTAATCAAGAGTTGACAGGATTGAAATTGTTCTCAAGCCATTTTATGGAAGTGAAATCTTAAATCACCAAATGTAAACCTCAGAACGTCATTCCAGAGTTAATGTTGTTTGGATTGATGTTAAGAATGCCTCTTCATTTTTTGTTTATGTTACTAAGTACTTGTGGATTTATCCTTGTAACTTTTTTTTTTTTTTTGGACAATCATTTTCCTAACCAGTTCTTCTAAACCAGTTGGACATGGTTATAATCATAGAATATTGTCTTCAATCATGGCTAGTCTTATTGGAACTGAAATTCTTTCTCTCTTTAAGAAAATGTTTTATTTGCACTGCAGAATAGGAAGAGTTAGATAGGTGTTCATTTTTGGGGAAGGGAAGTCATTAACACAGGACTTCACTCCAGAGTTACCATATGAGTGTGTTCAGCTCTGGTCCACAAAACTGGGTAAAAATCGTTTGTCTGTTATTTTGCCATGCACTGCTTGAACCTTACACCTGTTAACATGAAAAGCAAAGTCAAAAGCAGCACAGGGCAGAAGGTATACTGGTTCAGTTTATGAGGGGATAGAAACGAACATGCTTGGGACCAAAACCACCTAAAATGGAAATTTCTGGATCACAAATGGGCCACGTGTTCTCTGGAGTAGTCACTGGCTGGTGCTTTATTATAATCATTTTGCACCAATCCCTGGCAATTAGGAACTGGATCCTGGGAAAGGATGTGAAACCATTGGAAGAGGGTGACTGTAGCCATGTGGAAGATAAAACATGGTTTTTTCTGCAAAATTACCACTTGAGGATTTTTACATTTACTATTTAAAAAAAAAAAGTTTAAAGATCAAAAAGTTTTTTTAAGTGTCTTCTACTTGCAAAGTATGCACACGTGTTATTTTTAACGTGTAAAACTGTTGAACACATGACTGTGGTGCATAAATTCTTTACATGTAAGGAGTCTGTGCATTTTACAGTAACTTATTTTATGGTTGGGTAATGAAACAGTTATACATTGAACTGCCATTGTTTGTATTAAGTGCTTTCATTTTCTTTGCAATCATTACAAAGTTGTATTTATTTTATACAAATGGATTTTGGTTTTCCTAATGCCGTAATGTTTACTTCAGCTTGTCAACCTTTCCTTTTTTATGTATCTGCATGTTGTAATGTATGATAAGAATGAATGTAAAGGCTGTGGCAACTGTAATTAATCTTTGTAAAGGGCTGGTCACACGTGGATCTGGTTGATGAATGCATCTGGAATTATTTTAGTAACCAGATCACTGTTTCAGAAATTTAGATGTAAACACCAAAAGAAGCATTTTCTCAGCAAAAATTAATAGCTGGTTCTATTTTTTTTTAACCTAGAAAAAAAAATAAAGTTGATTTCTTTTTTTTTTTAAGTAAAGTGCTTTTAATTCTGAGCAGTGGGATTGGGGT